GGCTCCCCCAAGCCCACCTCTCCACCGCGCCAGCTCCCTGCGGCACGAAGGGGAGCGCGGGGTCCCCCACCAAAGCCCACCGCAGACAGCGGCTCACAGGCCACTGGAGTGGCCAGGCACGGCCTCGGCCCATAATTACAGTCCAGCACACAGCGGCAGAAATTATTTCCATGCTGATCCCTTGGTGGGCAGACGCACTGCTCCAGAGCTGACCCTCTGCCGCACCAAAAGCAGGGATGCCCCGGCACTGCAGGACACCCCAGCCGAGCGCCCGCTGCGTAGCCCTACCCTGGAGCTGCCATGCCAGAGGCAGCACTGAAGTGACAGGTCACGGGTTGGGGATGGAAAATCCACACTGTGCCTTTCCTTTTTAAATAAGGGGCAGGGGGGAGAAAAAAAGAAAGAAAAAACAGGCAGAACAGCATTGCGGAAAAATCTGTTTTGAGGAAGACACTTTATAGAAGAAAACTTTAAGAGATTGACATGTTTGGTTCGTCTAAACATTAAGACTCACATTACATTGCTCTAAGCACCCAGGCAGCAAAGGCCTTCTTCTGGCAGAGAAAAGTATGCAGAGGACGGCTATCTGGAAACCAAAGCCAGCCCCATCGAGACACTGCAACCGGCATTACGAATCACGGTGATTCTGCAGGTCCTGGCATTTATCTTCTAGTAAAGGCTGTGGAGCCTTGATGGAAAATTCTGGCTTTTATGTTTCAGAAGTTAGGGCATAAATGCGTCCATAAAAGCCACAGCCATATGTAATACATCATTGTAACATGCATACTACTATTGCTTATTTAAGGCTTAACGCAGTTCTGAGAAAATGGACTGGTTTGTGGCAAAGCATCTTCCATTGGGCTTTCCAGTCTACAAATACCGCTGATACACCGGAAGATGCTAAATTCTTTAGGCCATCTCTGATCACACAGCAAGGAAGGAGCTTTTCCTCAGTTATCCAGCAAAAAGCTGGACCTGCCAACTTTTCAGAAAGGAATTCAGAAATTTAAAAAAACCACACAGTAAGTTTACACTTCCCCTATTCTCTCTGCAAATTGATGGAATAAATCAGACAGAACAGCCTCAAAACCTGAGCCACTATCCATACACCAGATATTTCAGATCCACTAGCGAGAGGCAAAGCATGGCACCATTACCCCATCTCTTGCTGGCTGTATCTCTGAATGACAGCATGGCTCCCGAATATCACTAGATCAGACCCATCGCAAAGTGGACAGAATACCCTGAGTAAACACAACAGGCTTCAGCTCCTCACACTCCTGCCTTCAGTCAAATGTGCAAAGTTGTATTTACAAAAATAACAGACTTTTTTGTGGTAGAACTGTATTTAATTATTTTTCATATACAAATTAAAAGAACACACACACAAAAAATCATTATTCTATCAAACTGAAATAAGCCAAATGAGCAAAAATCAATATTTAAAAAATACTACAAAGAAAGATGAAACAGCTATAGTGCAAAGAATAAAAAGCTTTTAAATTCCATTTTCCACAAAATTACGCTCTGAATACTGCCTCATACATACAAGAATGCACCCTCGGTAGAAAAAAAAAAATCCAGTGCAAAATCATTTTAAACCCACATATTATCAGAATGCAATGGAGTACATTCACATTTTAAGAAAGCCATCACATTTTGTTTTTCTCTCTAGTAACAAGATGTGCAATGGCACAAACACAGTCAGGTGCTTTTTCCCCACAAGCATTAATACTTTGCAGCTTTCGTGATTCTAAAAGCGATGTTGTGAGGTTCCACCATTTGTTACTGCTTAGGCACTCCACATAAAACATACCGGTTTATACAAACGAAACATGTTTATCTGATCAGCTTTCTTTCCTTCTCGTGCATCAACCCCAACAATAATAATTCTCCTGTGCCAATTATGCCTGGTGACCAATTTTGACTTCTGGTGATGATGCACGAGAAGAAATGACAATCCAAGTAATACCCAAAGTTGGCTGACTTTGCAGGACCAACAAGACAAAAAAAAGCAATGGAACCTTTATCTCACTCAAGCAAACTCACTATACTCCACTTATATTCTCAAAGTGCAAAAACAGGCCATCTATTGAGAACTGCGCTGTATTCCTCGCAGAACCAGATCTCAGAGCAGAACCGCACTTCAAGTAAGTTCACAGTTGCATAATAAAAAAGTCCCAGGATCTTTTGGCTAATCTGTGGTCTTATTGCCTAGGTAGAGCTCTAGTGGTAGGGTAACTCAACCTAAAGCAATTTACTTAACCGAAAAGTCAAATCGCTCCATTGAAGCAAGGTAAGGTAGAGTTCAGTTTTAAACAGTGGTCTGCGACTACAAAAAAACCCCATAACCAAAACCCAGAATTGATTTTAAAAACCCACAACCACACATTAATTCTATTGGATAGACTTAAATTGAGACACAGAAAGTTGTGTTGCAGACAGCCTTGAAAGACTAGTAGTTAATGTTATTTTTTCAAAATTATGAGATGAGCAACAGAATAGGAATTTATTAGCACCAAAGGAAACACGGTATTTCTCAACTTGTATCTAACCCCCAGCTATAGAACACTTAGTTGTCAACTCCACCACCGACTAACACCTGAAACATCCAAATACTAAGGACAGTACCAACACTGCAGTCAGATAGGCTCTGGGTGACTGCACTACTTCTTTTAAAACACAATGGGACTACCAAATCAGTGTGTCAACCAAGGCAGCTCAGTTAAAACACATTTCAGTTAATGTTTTACGCTTTTAATCAATATTATTCAATATAAGTATAAAAGCTGCACCAAGTTAAATAGAAAATATGGTTCCATAGGTGCTACTCATGGGATCAGAAATGTTTGGGGTTTTTATGATTCATTTTTCACAGCATCGAAGTTGTCCTGAATGGTAGGGCAAAAGGCTAGGACAGCTGGCCACAGTCAGTAATCACAATCTTTTTGGAGGTTTTTCCACTCTTGGAACCAAAGCTCTCAATTTTTTTCACAACATCCATTCCTTCCTTTACATGTCCAAAAACAACATGTTTTCCATCTAGCCTGTAAAACAAATAAACAAAGGCAGTTTTACTTAAAACAGCATAAAGACTGAACCAAACCAAGCTCGGTGAAGGGATGTCTGCAGATCTTCATAGCTCTCACCTGCTGATAAACTCTACGGCAAAGGCACAACTCCTCTACAAGGGACATGAAATACTTTTAGCTCTGGAGCTTAAGCAGCATTATGAGGGATAGTGGCCTTGTTACCCCTTCCTCCCTCAAGTAGTACAAACCAACTTATTTTCCATTGCAAGACAAATAACCTAGAAATTAAAAAGAAAAACAAACCCCCCAAAACAAACAAAGAAAAAACCCCAAACCCTCCAGACTGAGGCATCAATTGATGATGTTAATATACAGGGCTGAGTACCTACCAGTCAGTTTTTGCAGTGCAAATGAAGAACTGAGATCCATTTGTATTGGGTCCTGCATTGGCCATTGAAAGAACACCTAGAACAGCAGCAGCAGTTTATTAGATAACAAGTATGCAGTGGAGAAGACAATTTTCCTCTGCACATTTAGACTGAAGATGGACAGACAGAAGATATGATGGTCTCACATTGTCTCCAAATGATTTCTAATGCAAACTTCTTGTCTTTGACTATTCCCTCGAGTCCAGCCTCCCTTCTTTCCACAGCCAGAATGTTAGTAATGTACCTAGTTGTACATATCCTGAATGTGATTAACATCAGGTAACCTCTGCTGTGGTTCAAGAGCAGCAGTAGTTTCCTGTGATGAGGAAGTAACAATCCAAAAAAGAGAGACTACAGAATTCAATCAGATGTTCTTATTTTTTTCTTTTATTTTTTTCTCAATTTAATTTGAGCTTAAAAGGATGTTATTTTAGGATGTTATGTTACTAGATACCTGTGTTACCTAGTAAACAAGAAATCGCAGATTGCTTTGTTTCACTTCTACAGTAATCATCTAAGTAAAAGTTCGTCTATGACTTAAGAAAGAGGAAAATAAAAGCAGTAATTTCACCTTTGTAGAATTTGTAAGTAAAATACAAAAAAACCCCATAGTTTATTTTGCACAGTCCCTTTTATAGTAAGAGCAAGAGTGGCAATGTCACCCATTACAGGCTGACTTTTACTTCTACAGCAACCTACACAAATAAGCACATGCCAGGGACAATGCAGTGTTAAACTTCCTTGGTATTTCTGCAACTACCAAGTGCCCCACACATCTGAAAAAACCTTACTTTTTAAAAAAATACATCTTCATAACCAATGCTTCATTATAGGCTACAGTGATCAGAAGACAGAAAGAATATGTTTATTTACCTGGTCCTACATGCTTAAGTATGAAATTTTCATCTGGAAATCTACTGCCATAAATGGATTTTCCACCGGTTCCATTATGATTTGTAAAGTCACCACCCTGAAACAGAAATGGCTATTAACTTTACTAGCACACAAATGTGATACAACAAATAGCAGTAATTTTAAGAAACACCTCAAAGGCCTAAAATCAAAATCACCTGAATTCATTACCTGAGAAGTCTTTTTTTTTTTTCTTTCTTTTTCCCAACAAGTATAAATATTGGTCAGGATCTCCATTATTACTATTTGCTATTTCTAGGTTTTGTTGTTTTAAGTGTTATACCTTAGCCACTTTAAACTTCCTTCAGCTACATGCTGTCTGCTGGGACAGACAGGACCATCTGTCTTAGGTTAGACACACAAATCCCAACAAACAAATAAAACCCCAGCCACAGCAACTCCCAAAGGTGGCTACTAAACACTGCTTCCAGCAATCTGCCATCTCCTCTCTCAGAAGCGACACCACCCAAGAACTCACACCTAACAAGTATTTCATGTGATGTTCATCTTTCCATTCTCACCTTGAGCAATCTATTACAGGTGGTGTTACAGCTACTCCTACGCAGTCCCAAAAGTATGCTCTGCATGCTGCGTGCCCTATGGAGGCATCTGAATTGCCAAGTCCTCGGTACCATGACCTCCAATTAGGTTATACCAATGGCCTGAATCATATTAACAATCCATCTCAACAAGTGGGAAGGCCTCTACTGCTTCCTCTCACTTTAAAATATTTGAAACCTATGACAGTATTTCCACTTTGGTAATGACTACCAAGTAATTCCTAAACATCAGTTCATCATTTCACCGTACCACAAAGTCAACCACCTAGTATCCTCATTTCAGGTCCATTTGTGGGGACAAACCAGGGAGGGCAAGGAGAACAGACTTACACAGAACTTCAAAAATTAGTGGTAGAACTGTGAGTAGGATTTCTCTTTTTGTTATAGTTATGTATTTCTGACCCCAGCAAGACTTCTAAACTTTGTCCCTTTGTCAGTATCACAAAACCTTAGTTTGCATTTCAAAGGCAACAAAATAGGTCCTTCACAGCATACTTGTCCCCTTTCTGTTCTTAGAAACAGATCATAAAATTAGGGCCTCTTGTTCTGACAGCTGTATTTTTAGCTTAAAAAAAAAAGTGAGGGGGTCATCATCACGGTCACCAGTTAATAAAGCAAGCATGCTTACTATAAACCTTCATCTCAAATTTTTTACAGAGCCATTTACAATGCAATGCCGTTGAAATGTAGCTTCTTTTAAGGAAAGAGAAGACCACCAGGAATCATACAATCAACAAGCAGCTGAAATCCTGCTCATCTGCCAAGCACAGTAGAAAAAAAGCTTTCAAAAAGGCTTTTGCTGTTTGGTTTGTTGTTGTTGTTGCTGATGTTTGAGAAAAAATTGCTAATGTGCATGGACTTCAGAATTTTGAACGATTCCTCCGTTATATAAATAAAAAAAACCCCCCACATTTCAGGTGTGTCATCCCCAAAATCTACCCCAGCCAACCCTTCCCCCCCCACCCCATATTAGGGACATGTTCAGAAAAAAAATTAAAAAAAACATTCTCTATTGTGAACAGATTATTCTACTAGGAATAAAGAATGGACGTGTTGTTTTCTTCGCTCACTTAGAACACAAGGTTGATTATCATTCTACCCACACTCCTCCCAAGCAAGTTGCATTTTTCCAAATATGCCCCACACTAAAGTACACTGCTATACAAAAGCAGAAAACCTTAAGCCAGTTTTTTTTAAGACAGTCTACACACAATTTACATTTATTTGTACGAAAGATGTGCTAAGCAACAGACATAACAAAAAAATCAGAAATGCAAGTCACACTGTCACTTCTTTATTCTGTAATTAGCAAAGGTTAGAACAGAGACACTTAAAATGTTGCTGCTAGTCTAACTGGTTCTAAAAATATGTAAGTAACATACAAATACATTTAATAGCAAAAGTGGAAGAAAAAAAAGGCCATTACCTGGCACATAAATGAAGGAATCACTCTGTGAAAAGTAGATCCTTTATACCCAAAACCTTTTTCACCAGTACAAAGAGCTCTAAAGTTTTCTGTGAAAACAAAGCATAAAGTATCATGTTGCCATACACATTACAGAATATAATCAAACACAACTAGATTAACCATGTCCCAAGTTTATACACTTCAAAAATTTTATATTATCTTTAAGGTATTATTGATTTATTAGTTGTGTCCCTGGCTTTAAAAAACCTGTGTTATAAAGCTAAGGAAACAAAGCCTCTTTAGCCTCAGAACAGGGTACAAACGCAACCTTGTTCCATCTCATCTCCCTTTTCATTTGCTGCTGTATCTTAACTCCAACTCCTCCACCTCCCCAAACCCACCACTCTAAAGTCAAAGACTTCATTTTCTGATTTTTATGCCTTTGTTCTCTACAGGTTGAAGACGATACCTTTTTTTTTTTTTTAAAAGGATATTCATGTACTGGGAACTGAAAGAAAAGTACAAGTTTTTCATAATGACTAAATAAACAGATGAGGAAGGAAGCACGTGATAAAACACAAAAACTTTGTAACATGAGTGCAGTGGTCAGCTAGCGACAAGGAAAACAAAACCCTATGTGCTCTTTGGAAACTCTAAGAGACACCATCCCTTTGGTTTGCCCTTTCTCATTTGCTTTGGGGTTTGATTTTAATGCAGACTAATGTGTTTTTAAAGATATTTATACACCACTGATAGCCAAACGAATGGACTGCACTGTCTTGGCACAAATTACAAAATGAAACTATTTGGAACAATAACAAATCATAACTACTCATTAGCACTGTTCTGACAAAGTTTGCTTCGTATTTGTCTATTTAACAAATAGGGATGGAACATGGAAATAGTTTCCAAAAAGTAGCAGAATATTCTTGTTCCTGAAAATCACAATGTAAACCGTAAATGTTAACTACGAAACTCTGGAGATGCTGCCTTACCTGCTGTCTTTGGAACAACGTCAGCTTTCAACTGTTAAAGAAACAAATTAGTAGGTCAGCTTTTTCATATACACACACATAGAAAACCTTATACATGGGAAGCTGGTACAACTGAACCCTCTTCCCAAGGTGACGAGCTACCTGAAATCACAAGCCACCCAAAAGTCCAAGAACATCTTAAGACTTCCCAGGCATTTGGCTCATAATTAAAAATATCACCTCAATGCAACTTTTGGACAGTTAATGAAGAACAACTTGAGAAGTGTCTAATATTTTCATTGATCAACACACTAATTTAGCAATAAGTAAGAAGAATCTTTACAATGGACCCCAAGAATCAAAGCCACTTTGGATACTACTGGAGAGATAAAAAGTCTCTCTCACACAGAGCCATCCATTGACATCTGCAGAAAGGACAACGGAAAAAGAAGAGCAGAAACTGTGTATCAAAATTGACTTGTGACATTACATATACATTCGTTATCAACAGAAAATTATGATTTTGATTAGTATGCATCTTTTTACTAATCTTAAAAATGCATGGTATTGTAATTGCCCGGAAAAAAGTGACATAAGAACGGCCATATCACGTTAGACCAAAGTTTTATCTAGTCACACATCCTGACAGTGGCCAGCAGCAGACACCTAGAAACAGCATGGCTGTGGCAAGTTAATGTTCCTTCCCTAGGATGCTTTCCTCAGAGGCCTATAATTTGCAGCTAAATCTAACCACAACTTAGCCAAAGATTCAAGGCGATGCTGCAATACATTCAGATATTCTGTGAACTGGGGGCACTAAAAATCTTCAACATGGAAATGAAATGCTGCCACAAGACATATAGTAACATTAATGCTACTTTTTATAATACTACTCAGTTATTTACTAAATCTCACTGATGAATAAGGAACTTGCACAGCAGTATTTTTACCTATAACTCCCTCAATTGCTACCTCCTGAGAACATGAGAGCTGGTGGTGTCCAATTAATTTATATGCTGACATTTTCAGTGAAGGAAAATTAATTGGGCTCTAGCCTCAAGGGAAACCCTTTTAGAGAGAGAGCCCTTATGAACTACGTTTTTGAAAAAAATAAAAATCTATCGATGCAGACCCAAGATGGGTGCTGGAAGCAGAAGGCCACACTTAATTCCCTCAGTAGGCAGCAATTTGGAAGAGCAGCATTCCCTCTCTGGCGTGCGGTTCTGGAGCACAGCCCTCATTCTTTCCCCTACGCAACACATTTATTCAGAGGCATGTGCCCGGCCCTAAGGATACATGGTATACCACAATTAAAGTCTCGGCACTTATTGTGCTTTTCGTAAAAGCGGAGCGTACCGCAGTTTTCCTGTTCAGGCCTTCTTTAAATGGCTGTTTCAGAGACTGAATTTTTAATGATAAAGCTGGTTGCTAGCTTGCTGTTGAGCTAGCTGCCAGTTCAAACAGAGCTGTGCAAACCTTTCAGTGCACAAGAAGCTGGAAGCTCAAAGAGGCAGTACCTCAAAAAAAAGAAGACTAAGAATCAAATAATAAACACCCAGAAAAAAAGAAGGAAAAAAGAGGTCGAAGCTCGAAGAGTGGCTGAAGACTTCTACAGGCACACTGCCCCAGGAGCATGCCAGCCCCGCGGCGGCCAGGCGAGGGTCCAGGCGCTCACTGACAGCCCAGGACTCCCAGAGCGGTGCGGGGAATCCGGGCGCTTTGTCCCTTCTGGAACCGTGCTGGTTTCTCTCAAGCAAAGCGGTACGCTTCAGCAGCAAGCGTACACTTGCTCAGTATTTCAGCCTCCGTACCGTGGTATAAAGTTTTCTTCCATTGTGGCTCCCTGCCACAGCATGGACCAACCTCCGGCCC